TAGAAAACACTGCCAGTGACCTGCCCAGTTTCCTTTGACCTCCAGATGCACTCATCCCATAGCTGCCATAAGGGTTGGCTGTTAAGAGCCCATAGTTGTTCCCTTCCTGGGAAACTCCTCACCCAAGAAGGTACACTATACACCATCACCCACTCAACCCCAATAGGGCAGGCCGCCTGTAGGCAATCAATGACTGACAAGGGTACAAGTCTGGCCCCCTCACTTCAAGGCAGATGAACTCTGTGGTGCTATTAATACTCCAGAGCTCCCCGTGGCATCAGATTGAAGCTAATCTCCAACAAGAACATATCGTTGCCTAGCATTCCCTCCCACCCTATCTGCCTTCCCCTCTCTCTTTCACCTGGGAGCTCTTCCTCAAGAAATCACCTGCATGAGAATCTCAGCCACTACTAAGGGAACTTAATCTAAGACAAACACACGCTAAGGTGGGGCTGCTTGGTCTTAGATTTGCTCATCTTAAAATTTACGAAGTGTTTCCAAATTGCTCTCCAAGGTAGTTGCACCAATTTACATTCCCACTCGTGCTTTATAAACATTCCTATTCCCCCAACACCTTCATCAATGCTGGCATTACAGACTACGTTTCCCAATCAAATTGGTGTAATACCTATCTCGTTATTGTTTTAATTTGCATTTCCATGTTTACTAGTGATGTTGAGAATCTCTTTTATAACTTCATTGGCCATTCAAATTTCTTCTCCTGTTATTTGTCTGTTTGCCTCTTTTGCCCACTTTCCTATGCTTTGAAATGTTTGGGTAAATGGATTCTTTGAAATTAAAAAAAAATTTATTTTGGAAACTAAATCTCTCTTGGTTGGTTATACAGCTTGCAAACACTCCCCCAGCCATGGTTCTAACAAATCTATTTCTTTCTTTTTTTTTTTTTTTTTGCCATCCACAAGTTTTTTAATTTGATTGAAATGAGGTTTATCATTATTTTCCTTTACCATTTGTGCTGTTTTGTGTCTTGCTTATTTTCTGCTCTAAGGTCATAAAGTTATCTTCCAGTTTTCTTTTTAAAGTTCTATAGTCTGCTTTTTACATTTAAACCTTAATCAACCTGGAATTTATTTTGCGAGTGGTATGAGCTGGGATCCAATTTTATCTTTATCTATGTGGGTATTTAGTTGTCCTAACATCACCCATTAACTAGACCACCCTCTGCCCTTTGTCATGTTTCAAACTCTCATATATATTTGGATCTATCCCTAGACATTATTATCCCGTTCTTTTTATGTTTCTGTATTCCCAGAACCAAATAAAACTATCTTAATTATTAGAGCTGTAGAATAATTATGGGCATCGGGTAGGGTGAGGTTCCCTTCCTCTTCCTCTTTTTTCTTCTTAAAAATTATCTTGGCGGGGCGCCTGGGTGGCTCAGTGGGTTAAAGCCTCTGCCTTCGGCTCAGGTCATGATCTCAGGGTCCTGGGATCGAGCCCCGCATCGGGCTCTCTGCTCAGCGGGGAGCCTGCTTCCCCCTCTCTCTCTGCCTGCTCTCTGCCTACTTGTGATCTCTCTCTCTGTCAAATAAATAAATAAATAAAAGTTATCTTGGCTATTCTAGGTTATTATTCCATAAACATTTTGGGATTACCTTGTCAAGTTACAGAGAAAACCCCCCTGCTAATTTTATAGGAAACACAATGTATAGATTAAATTGAAGGGGACTAGCTGACTTTATGATGGCGAGAGTTCCTAGACAGAAAACCCATCTATTTCTTCTCTGGTTGTTACTCTCCCTCTTCTCTGCATTCATCCTCACTTAAAGGAAACGAACTTCCAAATCCTTCTCCTTGTTCAGTGCCCAACTGAATGCTTCCTCCTTCAGAAAGTCCTTGGTGACAGTCCTGACCCTCTAGGCTTTTTCTCCTCTAATTTCCTTTAATCTTTCTGTGTGCCTCATTTCCTGGACACTTAGCACCAGCCCCTTGGGTGCACTCTATACCTCTACCCAGCTTTGGCCTCTGGAGGGTCTGCCTTCATCTTTCTATCCCCCAGTGTCACCCAGCACATAGCAGGCGCCCCATAGGCTCTGATGATTCCTTCCCTTGGGGAAGGAAATGTGTAGTAGCAGGTTCTATCTCATAGGAAATGGCTAGTCCCACGCAGGGAGGTCTGGAGCAGAGTTTAGTTTTAGGAGAAACAGCTTGAAATCAGAAATCACTTCCAGGTTTACACGGTCATTCTGCCAGTTGGGACACTGGCCTCTCTGAGTGTGCTTGTGCCCAGCTGTAAGTTGGAGACAATATTACCAATCTCCTTGGGCTGCTGGGATTATTAGTGAGACAATGGAGGAAACACAGTAAAATGTTTTCTCCCTGGTCTAGATCTCCAATCTGGGGGACGTGCAGGAATGAAGATTCTTGGGGGGTGGCTGGAGATCATTTGCTTGCTCATCAATAGGATCCCCAGGGGCATCTTCCCCAAATGGACATAGTCAGGCTCTGCTCTGCCTGCAACACCACTGCCCTGGCTCCTGCTGCTCTCCCCTCTCCCCTGGAACAGAGATGGGTCCTCAGCCCCTGATGCCACAACTGCAGGTGCTTGCATCCCTTCCCTGCTCATAGCACCCAGGTCTCTCAATGATCTATTAGTCCCAAGGAAGCTGTTCCAATAATGCTGCTTCCATGTGTTCCTCCTCTGGAGGATGTCTTTCTTCCACAAGAGCCCTTGAGGCAAAGGCAGTGCCCACTTGCAAGCAATCATCCTCCCATGTTAAGCACCATCTGCATGTCTTGAGAGACAAAATGTGGGACCTGCGGGCGTGCTTCCTAGCACAGCATGGGCTTTGGAGTTGGAAAAACCAGGGTTCTGGCTCAGCACCCTGCAAACATGACTTTAGGGAAGTTGACCTCTGTGAGACTCAGCCTCCCCATATATAAAATGGGTGCATGAATCCTACATCCCGAGATAGATGAGAAAACCAGAGCAAAAAAAAAAAAAAAAAAAAAATGTATGGGATACATACAGTAGGTGCATAGCAGAAGGCTGTTCTTTCTTACCAGGTGATGTTGAGGTTGAAAGGATGGGGAAAAAAATGGGGGACACAGGCAAAGATGAGGCAGAATTTATTCTCATTGTGGGCAAGTTCAAGACTCAGGATGAAGACCACAGAGAAGCAGATCCCTGGGGCCCCAAGGGCACCTCACGCCCGGGGCAGGGGCCACACTTTGGCAAGTGCCGGACCCACCGTGTCCACCCTGACCATGAGGATCAGAGCCCAGGAACTGGGTGAGAGTGGGGTGGGGGTGGGAGGAAGACAGGGTCCTCCCCGGATCGTGTCCTGACCATGTTTCCGACTTCCATAGGAAGGAAGAACAGCTCGGCTATATAGTAATATAATATATAGAGGTGTAGAGAGCTGGCCGCGGCACCTAGGCGGGGCTGAGACTCCCCAAATTATTGCAGGAGGAAGGGGGGCTCAGTGCTGGCGTCTCTGCGGGACAGCTGTGCTGGCTCGGGGAGGGCTGGGCCGGTGGGGGGGGCGGGGAGAGCTGGGCTTGCCCCTCCCTCTGGGGCCGGCAGGGGGTGCAAGGCATCCTGCCCAGTGGTTCCTTGGGGCCCTGCCTGCCAAGCTTCCCCTGGGATGGTGCTTTCTCACCCTGGGTGCTTTTTATGTGCTTTGAAGACCATTTTTGCATTGTCAGGAGTGAGGAAAAAATATTCTGGCATGGTAGAAAAAAGATATTTACATACCCTGGTGGGCCGTAAAGGGGAGGGTCAGTCTCGGGGTGGGGGAGCTTCCAAAGCCCCCTCTCACCCACAGCTGTCAGTGTGGGATGGTGTGGGGTGAAAGAGCCCTGGGCTGGGAGGCAGGCGGCCTCAGCTCTGAAACTTGGTTGCTGTGTGACCTTGGACAGGGCACATGCCCTCTCTGGGCCTTGGTCTCCCCAGGTGGTACAGGAGGTGGGGTGGACATGGGGCTGAAAAGCTGTGATCTTATGGTCCCTGATCTTAGGATTGAGGAGGGAGGGGTGCAGGCCAGGGCTGGGCAGTGAGAGGTTGGCATAGGGCTTCCAAGGGAGGAGCCCTGGGCCATGGAGGGGTATGGGAACCCAGAGGGAAGTTCAAGAGCCTGGCCCCTGACCAGGCAGCCAAGTCCAGCTGAGGGCATCTCGTGTACTCTACAGCGATGTCTACACAGTAGGCGGCCAGAGGGGCTGGCCGGGAACCCTGTTTTCCTGTGGAAGCAGCGGTGGGAGCCTGCTGGAGGCCGCAGGTGGCCCCCCACCTGCTGGAGGGAGGGCGCAGACCTGAGATAGAGCCGGGGGAGGGCTCACCCTGGCAGAGACGAGGGCGGGCCTGGTGCTGGTGTGGTTCCGAAGTGACCCCTGATTCCAGCCTCCAGGTGTCAGGGGAGGTGGGTATGAGCCTCTCCCTAGTCCCTGCGGGGACTGGGGCTCGGGCCCATCCGCAGTGGGCAGCGTCACACCAAGTTCTGTGCGCACAGGCCTGTGACACGCGTCCTCATTCACGACACGCCAGCCACGGTCACAAACATGGGCCCCCCGCCCTAATGGAAAAGCATGCACACCGTAAGCACACGTCCGTGCTCAGACCTGATGGCTGGACACACACATGTGATCACAAATGTTCACCAAGGCTCCCACAACCTCATGAAAACACATCCCTACAGCATAGCAGCACACACGCACACGCACACACGCACACGCGGAGGCAGGTGAGTGATGTCTCTGTTGGGCTCCGTGTCACCGAGGACCCAGCCTCGGGGGAAGAGCAGTCCCTCTGCCCTGGGGACAGATGTCCCAGCCATGCTGGGTGCCGAACGCCCCTCCCCAGGCAGCCTGAGCCCCAGTAAGCCCAGGTCCTGCGGGGGAGCTCTTGGCCTCCCTGGCACCTGAGAGGAGGGACAGAGGCTTGGGGGCATGCCTGACCCCTAGCCAACCCTGCAAGTCCTCTGATGGCCAACACGACCCGGGTCTGCTTTCGTTGCTGCCCAGGCCCCACTGGCCTTGGGTCAGAGGTGCCGGCGGGGCCCCTGGGTGCTTGTCAGCTGGGCCCTCATGGTCTGGATGCTTCCCAGGATCTTCTTCTGGTGGCCCATGAGGGTGATGCCCAGGGCACGCACGTCCCTGTGAAGGAAGGGTGGGGCTGCTCTGGTCGGCCTGGGAGGCCAGGAACCACGGAGCCAGGGGCAGACCCATCCCCTGGAGATTTCCCCCCCCCCCCCCTCCACCCCCCCACCTCGGTGGCCCTGCCTCCAGTCCCCACCCACACGGGCACCACCCGACCCTTCACTCACTGAGCATCCATTCGTAGCACCATGCCCAGCGAGGAGTAGCCGCCGGCAGCGAAGTGGTCTCGGTAGCGGCCCATGCGGATGGAGTCCAGCCAGTCCCCCACGGTGAGGCCACCGCCACCACCCCCACCCCCGCGGAGGTCAAAGCAGCTCTGGGCAAAGGCAGGGGGCGGGCACCTGAGGCACAGGGGCCCTTGGTAAGTGGCCTGCCAGGGTCTCTGTCTTCCTTGGGGACCCAGGCAACAGCCACCCTCAGCCTCCATGCAGGCTCACTAGTGAGCAAAGGGTCTGACAAGGTAGCCCCCAGGCCTGAAAGGAGAGGGCGGAGGAAATCTCAGGCAGGGCGGGGGTCCAGGCAGGACAGCTGTCAGGGGCCCAGGTAAGGCAGTGATGAGGGGCCCAGGAAGCTCAGGGCTCAGGGGCGCAGACAGGACACGGGTGGGGAGCCCAGGTAGGACAGCAGTCAGGGGCCCAGGTAAGCCAGGAGTTGGGGGTCCAGACTTGACAGGGGTCAGGGGCCCAGGAAGCTCAGGGGTCAGGGGCCTAGGCAGGTCGGGGCTTTAGGAGTCAGCTCGGTGTGGTCTGGACGTCAGGGCTGACCCTAAGTCTGGGCCTTATCTGGGGGAATACCGGGAGGGCAGCTGGGTTTGGGCAGAGCTGGGGTGGGCGCCAGGCACCTGTTAACAGTGGTAGTAGCCCTGAGACTCTCAGGGCTCCGGATGAGGGCATCAAGGACACTGACAATCTGGGAGAAGCGAGGCCGCTGGGCCCTGTCCTTGTGCCAGCAGTCCAGCATGAGCTGGTGCAGGGCGCGGGGGCAGCCCATGGGTGCGGGCAGGCGGTACCCCTCCTCCACGGAGCTGATGACCTGGGGTGGGGGGAAGGGACAAGCACAGTGCTGGGCTGGAGTCCGCCCCCCTCCCTTCCGCCCAACATCCCCTGCGGCCTCTGCCCAGCCAGGGTCCCGGACTCACATCACGGTTTGTCATGTTCCAGTAGGGCCTCTCCCCGTAGGCCAGCACCTCCCACATGACCACACCGAAGCTCCACACGTCGCTGGCTGAGGAGAAGGTCCGGAAAGCGATGGCCTCCGGGGCTGTCCAGCGGATTGGGATCTTGCCTCCCTGCAAGACATGCGCAAGTGCCCAGGCCTTCTCCCCGGCCCGGGGCAGGGAGCCGAGCGCCGGGGCAGGGCCAGGAGCGTGGCAGCGCAGGACCGGAGGCCCAGCCTTCCCCCTGCCTGGAGCCCCCGTTCCGCTCAGGGGACCCGCACTCCCAGCTGATTTGCAGACTGAGCGGAGGACCCGCGTGATGTGGCTGGAACACAGCAGGTGCTCAGCAAATACCCGTCAACAGGCTGACAAGGGACGCAGCCTGTGGGACTCGGCTTGCTCATTATCTCGCTGCCCTGCCTTCCTTTCTTTCTTGTTTCTTTCTGTTTTTGTCACAAAATCCTTTCTCTAAGTGAAACCTTGTCTGGATGCTCGGTGGTGGGGGGGCCCAAGGGAAGGTTCTCACTGAGGCAAGGTTGGGGGGCCTGAGCCCCGGCCCACTCAGCCTCATGCCTCGAAGGTGGCCCCCAAGGCTTCTCTCGAGAGGCCTGCCTCTCTTCGGAACAGCTTCTGCCGCCATCAGGGTTTAGCTAATCCTTACAGAAGAATGTAGAGTGGATTCGCAATTCAGAGAGACACTGACCCTCCCAAAACCTCCCAGACAGTGAGTGACCGCGGGCCGAGCCCTGGTGTCTCCCCAGGCCACCTGGTATATAGGAAAGGTGGGAACGGGAGCTCCCATTTCCCAGAGGGGGAAACTGAGATGTGGAGAAGAAGTAGGACTTGCCCCGGCTGAAGGCAGCCCCGACATTTCCAACTTCACTGTGTGTGGGAGCCCTCCCTGGTCTCACCGGAAAGCGGGGGGCCCACGCACCGTGGTGGTGTAGGCCGCGCCAGGGTCATCCTCCAGCACCCGGGAGAGCCCGAAGTCGGACACCTTGCACACCAGGTTGCTGTCAACCAGGACGTTGCGGGCAGCCAGGTCTCGGTGGACGTAGCCCAGGTCCGAGAGGTAGCACATGCCGGCGCCCACGCCTCTGAGCATGCCCACCAGCTGCGTGATGGTGAACTGCCCGTCGTGAGTCTGTAGGGGGACACGGCTGGGCTTCAGCAAGGCTCTGCGCCGCGTGCCAAGTGTCTTCACTGCTTATGAAGCATGTTCCTGTCTCAGTCCTTCTCATGGTCTCATTTACGCTCTTAGCGACCCTGAGAGGGAGGTGGGGCTGTGATGACGTCTCACCCATCCTGAGAAGGAGAAACGGAGGCCCAGAGAGGGGAAGCCCAGCGCCGGGAGGCTCAACAGATAAACGGCTCGGGGGAGGAGGCTGGAGGCTAGCTATTTCCCCGACACGCGCCATGCCTCCCAGCGGGCGGGACCCTGGGTCTCCACGGAGGCTCCCCTCCCAGTCTGTGTGAGGAGCAGAGGACCCCGTGCGCGGAGGGCCCTTCCCATTAAGGGGGGCTGCAAGACAATTTGATCGGCTGACCCTTAAGGCTCCTCCCTGTACCCCACGCCCCTTCCCCAGGTCCACAGGGTCCAAGCTCCCGTGGGTGTCTGGAGGCCTGTCCTTATCTCCCAACACCCAGACTGAATTCCCCTCCCCCACACCCACGGGGAAGGTGGCGCGGGACACGCACCCGCAGGAAGGCATCCAGAGAGCCATTCTCCATGTACTCGGTCACGATCATTGCCAGGCGGCCTGGGGAGGGGTAGAGGCACGGGGTGGCTCTTGATCGAGTCTATCGATCAGAGACCCCAGGAACACGGTCCCTCTGTGAGCTGCCAAGAGCTGGGCCGGCACTGAGGGCTCCAGAGAGACTAGGGTTCCCACTGGGGTCCTGGACTCTGGGTCCCCTCCCCACCCAAGTCACCCAGGAACCTGAACCGGGGGGATGGGGGCAGAGCAGGGGCAGAGCACCGTGGTCCAGGGGTGGACCCAGACTTCCGTGCTGGGGCAGGAGGGGCCCTGCAGGGTGAGGCTGCCCCAGCCCGGGACCTACCACGGGTGACAACTCCTTCCAGGCGGATGATATTGGGGTGGTCAAACTGACCCATGATGGACGCCTCACTCAGAAAGTCCTGCCGCTGCCTCTCTGTGTAGCCAGCTTTGAGGGCCTTGATGGCCACGGGCACATCCCGCTGTCCCGGCACCCGCAGCCGCCCATAGCAGACCTCACCGGACTCCCCTGTGGACCCCGAGTGGGGCAGGGAGAGGAGGGCTGTGGGACCCTCCCTTCCACACCTGGACCCCAGCACCACCCTCCCCAACCCTGCCCCACGAAGTGTGTTCTCCAGGACTCCCCTCTTTCCCTGCCCTGGGTGCCCCTCCCCCAGGCACCCCTCTGTGCTGTCCCCACCTTCACAACCCCCAAGGCTCACCAGAGCCGATAATTTTCTCGATGTGGATCCTGGAGGCTTCAATCTCTCGGGTGAAACTGCGGCCCGCCCGCCCTGGCTCCTCGTAATTGTGGGGTTCTGCATAGAACTGGGGCTCCGGGATCTTCCCTGGGGGGTGGTGCAGGGGCAGGAAGACAGGTGGGGGTGCTGAAGGGCCAGGAAAGAAATGCCATGAGTAGGGTGCAGAAGGCTTGCTCTGGCAGCATGCCCTGGGCCTGGGGTAGGTCTGGGATGGGATGCGGAGGGTAGGGAGGGTCCCTGGGAAGCCCCGGGAAGCCCAGGTTGTGGCAGCAAACAGTAGGTGCCCAGTACGTGCTTACCGAGTGAAAATGGGGTCTCTATGGAGGAGCTATGGGGTCTCTAGGGGACTTTGGGGTCTCCAGTGGGTTCTGAGCACATCTGCTGTTTTTGGGGGGGTCACTTCTAGAATCTTTAAGGTCTATCTAAATTGCTCTAGGGTAGAAATGTAGCAAAAACATTTTCATCACAAACGCCAATTCTGATTGAAAGTAGCTCCCTAGAAAACCTCAGTGAGGACGACTCTGAGCTGCACTCAGCTGAGATTCGGTACCAGAAATGATACTAACGTCTACCACGGGCACAGGTGTGAGGTACGGAGGTAGGCTTTCTCCTATGTGCCCCATCTTGTGGGGTCCCTGCAGGGTCCTGGGAAAGCTGTCTGCAGCGTGGGTCCTTATCCAACAGTATATGACACACACCCTCCGAAACTACACAAAATTGTGTGTGAGTGCAGATGCGTGCATTTCCTGGGGAGGAGAGTTTCTAGCATCCCGGGTAGGGCCCGCCAACCTGATAAGGGTGAACAGCGCTCCGCCTCTGAGGTCTGGGTTCTCTGACATCCTACTGTCTACCTCTGGGGCTCTCCTCTTTTCCGCGCGCTGCCCTGCTCCTCCCCACCTGTTCCCTCCCCAGACCAGCACTATCCCCACCCTCCCGGCTGGACCTCCTCTCTGCCCCCATGAGCCTGGGCCCCTGCACTCACCCTGCCCGTTCTGATACTGCATCTTCTCCTCGTCCGAGTCCTGGAAGGCCTTGCTGTAGCCGCAGTGCCTGGGGAGGACAGCTCTAGCCTCAGTCCTGACCCGGGTCGGGGACAGAGCAGAACTCCTCCCTTCTAGCTCCTTCCCTTTCCGGTCAGCTCCTGCCCCTACAGAGCAGAGTCCCCACCCTCAGGCTCTCAACCCAGCTGGACGGTGACTCCTTTGACAGTTACGATTTACAAAATCAAGTGCACCTGGTCTGCACATCAGTCTACACAGCCTAAGCCCCATTTTATATGAAACCACCCTTGGGGGTGCGGACAGGGGCTTCTGGTATCTATGACACTGTGTGACCTTGGCCAGCCCCCTCCCTTCCCTGGGCCCGTGTCTCCATGTGTAAGACGATGCTTCCAGGCCTCGCTGTCTGGACTCCTAAGCCCACACACCCCTCTGGGATGCCGTGGGGGAGAACGGCAACTTCAGTTTTGACAGACCTTGGTTCCTGTCCCAGTTCTGACATCTACTTGGCAGAAGAGTCCTAACCTCTCTGATCCCTAACTAGTTCACCTGCAACGTGACACCAGAATGTCTCCATCACAGCATTAAGGGAGGCGGAGACGGTCACCTGGAGGGAGGCCCGGTGGGCCTGGCCGGTGGGTGGACGTGGTACGGAGACAGGGAGGGAGAGTCTGGATGACAACCGGCTCTGGGGCTTGAGCGACCCCATGAACAGTGGTGCCGTGTTCTGGGAGTGGGGGGCTGCGTGCCGTGTGGCTAAAACACATCGGGGCGGGGGGCAAGAGTGAGCACATGGTCCTCAGGGGAGAGGCCTGTGCTGGTGACAAAATGTCAGCATGACAGCGGGGTTCCTAGCCATGGACCCTGATCAGGTCACTCAGGGAAGATGGACCCAGGTGAAGAGGGAAG